ACTGGTAAAGAAAATGCAGCAAATAAGAAAGTCATACACCATGACCAAGCAGAATTCATCCCAGGGATGCAGGGATGGTTCAACATATGCAGATCAATAAATATATACACAATATTAACAGAGCCAAGGACAAAACCCATATGATTATTGGGTTAATAATATCCCTTAGTTATTGGGTGTTGATCAGGTCCGGAATCTCCCGAACAAGTGTACAGCGAAGAAGGCTAATTAAAAAGAGGCAAATGGAATGATTTCAGGGCTCTAGGAGGATCGAAGTCCTCTCACAGAATTTGAGATTTTCTCAGGGCTAAGACCAAAACCTACTCTGGGCAGCCCATATTTCTTTGGTTATCAGAAGGGAGAGGAGTACTCAAGAAGGGCAGAATCAGTCAAGGACTTCTCCAAGTAAGGTATTAAGTTAATCCACCCAGGAGTGAGATGCCTGAGGCTACAGTCTTTATCTAGTTGAGGTTGGATCCAGGTGTCCTTGGCTGTGATCTTGTCTTATCCTTTGAGGTTTTCTGGCTTCATCACCACTACAGGTTCTAGTGGGGATTAGTGACTCACAGAGGTTCACTTACCATGAGTCCGCCATTTCCAGACAAGGAGCCTAGGCCTTGGACAGATGCACAAGTGAACATGGAAAGCCACTTGGTTAATTTAACTCCTGCTCAGCGCTGCTTCATAGTGGCCTCCACCAACTCCTTTTTGTTTTTGTAACTGCAGCTGTTGAAACATGACTAGTATTGTCACGGGGTTGGTGTTCCCGTAGCAGACTAAGAACAGAAGTACAAGGTGCAAACGTGTTCATGTAATGAGTCCTTTACAGAATCCACGACGGGTCTGCTGGCAGCACACTTCACCACTGGTTTGAAGATCTCGTCCCTCTATGGCCACATGTTCCAGGATGGCACCCATAATGATGATTTATGACAAGTTAGGAACTCTCTTTATGAGGTGGACCTGGTGGACGCTGGTAGAAGGAATCTAGCATGTTTATTATTGGTTTCATCTGTATGGTTACTTGGAGTTTTGTAGTCTTTAAGAAATTAGTATTGCTATGGCGTTTTATGCATCTCATACTTTTCTGCTGTTTGTTCAAGATGAAGTTAAAGTGAGACCTGTGTTAATTAAAATTAACTTCTTCCTATCAAGGTCAGCTAAATCTCCTCAGGATTTACCTTGGAACTATGCACAGTGCCTCTCAGATCTTCTGTCAGTGTCAGCTCTGTGGATGAGTCACAGCCATTGCTTGATCAAGTTGCTTTCTCTGAAAGCTTGGGAGATTTTCCTCTCCTGGTGACTCTCCTTAGGCACACCTATGCACTGTAGAATCACTTTCCTCTGTGGTCCCATAATCTCCTTTATCGGAAGAACAGGGAATCAACCAAGTTATAAGATGTCATAGCAGAGGTTCTGTTATATCCTGGGTCCTCAGTGACCTCAGAGGGCTAGGGCAAAAATATTGGCTATCTGCTTAGCCCATCTGTCTTTCTAATTTTTTGTCTCCAAACCTCAGTTGTTGAACATCCAGAAGAGAAGGTTAATGACATCACACTGTAGTGGGAGCACCTTGAAATATAAGGTATAGTAAGAGAACTGTTGTTTTTTACAAACCAAGGATGTTCTAGCAGTTGAATCCCTACAGAAGGTTAACAGACAACAGTTACATAGTTTTAGAGAGAAGATTTGGAATCAAAAGCCATACATATTGGTGTAGCATAACAAGCATGATGATGTTTTTGAAATACATTTAAATCTCCATCTTGGAATAGAGTAAATTATTAGTCAATTTTCCCTAATATATAAGAAGCTTTTACCTAATTTGTTGTCCTTTAATAGGACATCATTGGAGAAGTTTGTAACATTGTCTGGGCTGTTCAGTATCTAAGCATCTCTAAAGGTAGTGGCACATACA